CAATCTATATATATTTACATTAATAATATTATATCAAATTAAAATATTGAGATAAAAAAAGTCGTCACACACAAAAGTAATGTATTATATCTATTATATCGACAATAAAAAATAATATTTTGAATTAAATATTAACCTTTTTTTTATGAGATAATAAAGTATATATATTGTATTGTAAATTTTGTAGGTAAAAAATTGTTTGGATGAAGAAAACATAATTTTTTGGGATAGTGGATAGTGATCAACTCTGATAATTAAAGTAGGAATAAATGGTTTTACATAGGGTGCCATTTTTATTTTTATTTTTATTTTTCTTATTTTTATTTTAATTATTTTGATTGAAGTTAGTCTATGTGAGTATGATGACCAGACTTATATATACTTACAGCCTTTTAAATATGAAGGCTGCCTTTGTGGGACAATGCATCCATCACTTTCTTACATATCTATCTCTATAATTATATACATACACTAATATATCATAGTACTATTTAATTTCATCATTAAAGATATATAAGCAAGTTAATTTATTGTATTATCTGACATTATAAATCTATATAATTATTTTAGATGATAATTTATTTTACTTTGTGGGATTTTATATTTTTTAATGTGTGATTTATATACTATATACCATCATTCAATTTTTAATTAGGTATGTGATTATATTATTTCGATTGAATTTTTATTGTATCAATTTGATGTGACCATTCGATCGGTTCACAAAATATTATTACTCTATCGATATGTTATGGATTTGTTAGTATAACAAGTCGAGAAATGCAAGCATTGAAATGAATATCTTGTCTAATAAGTCAAAATAGAAATTGTGTAATTTTCTCATTTTCTAACACACATATATGTATATATATCAGGGGCGGCTCTTAGCAGGAGCAGAGTGAGTGACTGCTCAGGGCCCTCATTACCGGATCAGAAAGGCTTTTTCCTAGATCAGATAGCTCAACTATCAACTATAACCCCAAAAGAACTAGATTTTGTAAACAACATAGAGAATAGAGGGCCCAAATTTTAAAATATTACCGATTATTATTATTAAATTTTAACTGGTAGTTTATATTTTTTTTTTCTTTGTAATTATCCAAATAAATTTTAAAATTCTAATTATATTTTGTTTTCTCTCTTCTTTCTAACCGGTCTCATCTCATCTTTCCAAATTTAATCGTTGTCTACAGTTATCTACATCACACCCTATCGCACTGCGTCCACCCACTCAGACCAAACTCGCTCATCTTCTCTCTTCTATCTCTTTCGCTCTCACTCAGTCCTTCTCACTTTTCGAACAGTTATCTTTCATCTCTGTTTTTTTCTCAAATCTACCACGCACAGACTGTCACGTTAAAATTTCTTGTCCAATCAATGACAATCAGTGATATTATTTTAAAAATATATTTCAATCATATGTTTAGGGTCTATAATTTATTTTTGCTCAGACTTCAAAAAAGTCTGAGACGGGCCTGATATATATGTATATATATATATACACAATGCCAATTTTTCTGTAGTTATAAAATATCGTATCTAATTATACAATTAATAAAAGCTTGAATATGGCTTCATAATTGTCCAAATTCCTTGGTTGTCTTTATTCAATTTGTATGTTATATATTGGTATCAATCAATTAATTAATTTTTTCGTATATAGGAAAAGTCAAGACAATACCTTGTTTGAGAGGGAATCGTTAATAAGTCTATCAAACATTTGTTTAGTGATTGAAACATTAATATATAAATATATATATATATATGTGATGATGACATTTTATATTTAATATATATAAATCTTGTAGTGTCTATCAATTTAGTATATAGTAATAATTGAGTAAGCTAACTAAGGTTAATAGGATAATTATGACCCTAGTATATTCCTAAATCTATATTTTAATTATAATCCTTAATTAATCAATAAATCAAAAACTATAATAAAATAAGAAGCACTATATTGTTCAACTTTGATTACCTTTTTATTCATTCTTTTCGTTTTTATTTACGGCACGTCCCAATTCATATTGCATATTTATATGACGTGAAAATTTGCAGTCGTTGTAACAGCCAACAAATTATATCAATCGAAAAAAATACTTCGTGGTCATAATTTACCAACTATACAAATACATTTTTTTTTATCACTTTTTATGATATTATTGCATCATAATAAATATACATAGAAGGAATAAATTATTTTAATATATATATATATATTATAAACAAAAAGGAATAAACAAAAATCTCTCTGTCATAAATATATATATATTATAAAATTATAATTATGACTCATGATATATGTTCTACTATTATTATTGTACATCTTTGCATTTTTATTTTATAAATTCTTCTATTTCACATTTTTTTGTCATAAAATTTCATGCAATATATAATTATGTTTATATAGTTTAACTTATAAAATTGTGGAGGACAGCTACTAAAATGATATACTCCCTCATTTCATTACATATTTATTTCATTTTATTTTAGATTGATCTATAGTGAAATTTGTTAATGTATCGAATTCAAATTAATGTAAATGCTAGTGATTTGTTTGTTTAGAATTTTTTGCATTTTAATTTGAATATAATTTTTTATAAGAAAGAATAATATATTTAACCAAACTACAAATAAATAAACCTCAAATCAAAGTATTTCTTCAGTAACTTTAATATAATATATAAAAATATACGATGATTTACAAGGCCGTGGACAGAAATATTGACTTTTTAATCTAAACAAAGCCAATGTATATCCATTCATACAAATTAATATTAAAAATAAATAAAGATATTGGAATTTAATTTTGTGTTTTGGTTAATTATTTTTATTTAAATAATGATTTGAATACGATATCTTATGAGAAATAATATGTTTTTATTTAAAATCTCAATAGTTTAATTGCAAAAAAAAAAGAAGTTAAAATCAAATTCAAGTAAATATAACTTGTGATTTTGCTGTTTTTTAAGTTTTTTTTTTTTTTTTTTAAGTATATCTAATATGCAATCTCCATAGTTTTTTTATAAGAATAAATTATTTTAATATCATTGCTATTTATACTACTTATAAACTAAAACTAAAATTAAATACTAAAAAATAATAATAATTAAAAAAAATCAATGATATATTTAAAGAAAAACACTTTTAAAATTCCCAAAAAGCCCATTTATATGCTAAAGCTAATAGGATAAAAGTACGACCAAAACCACTTTATGAATCTCACGTCAAGGGCAAATATGTAATTCAAAATTCTTTAATTATGTAAAGAGTTTTAAATTTATTTTCCAATATCCACTGTAACTATTATTTTGCCAATCTCCACATTTAGTGGAGGAAAAAAAATATAATAATAAAATAAGTAAAAGAAAAAACTGCACAAAATGTTTGACTATCACAACCCAATACATTTAATTTTAATATTGAATTTAAAGTAATATGAACAATATTATCAATCATACCAAATTACATTTTAAATTTTTTTTTCTTAAAAAATAAAAAATAAAAAAGGCACATTTAGTGATGGTCAGAACCAGCCTGGCTTGGCCATTGATAAAATTATAACCAATCCCACCATTTAATTTTTATATACATATATTTTAATATTTCAAAAATAATAGTAGTATTGTTTATATAATCACAAATTTTTTAATTATAAAAATGATTCTTTTCTTTGAGAATTGAATATAGTTATGGATTGAAAATCTCTAATATAAAAAAAGGTGAAATAATCAAATTATGAATAATATCAACTAAAAATAATAATTTAACCAGCTTAATTATTTACACAAATAATTATAATTATAATAATATATATTCATATACTCACCAAATTAATTATCAAATAAGTATGGTGTGCTTAATCATATTTTTTATTTAACCAATAATTAAAATATATTATTTTATCTAGATAAAATAATAGGAAAAAAATTCAAAGTGAATAAATTCAATAATTCAATATCTTAGCTAATTTAATTATAGGTGTATTTGTTATTACCTGGACCATGGTTTTCATTTTTCTTATATGCTTTTTCAATTTTTTTTTATTTTTTTATTTTTATTTTTTTAAAAAAAAGAGATTCATATATAAGTATCTTGTTTATATAGATAACATATTTATGCACATTCAAAATTTTCATATTTATTATAAAACCAATTAGGCTTATGATGTTTTCTTAAAATACTTAATATATATTTTTAAATTTATATTTAATCACGTATATATTAACTATACCAATTCATAATAGAACTTATGCTCCAACAAAGTTAAGATAAACTATGCTTTGTCTATATACATATTTTTCTAAAATAGAACTTAAATATTTAAATTTTTACTATTTAAATTTTCTTTTTAAACTCTAAAATAAAAATTCATAAGGTCACTCAAATGAGTGATCTTTGACTTGATCCCTCTATGTGTAAACCTCTCCTTGGATCCAAATATATATATTTAGACAAAATGAAGATCATCATATATTTAATTGTGTATATATATATATATATTTTAACTATTTAAACTCTATATTTTTTATAAAACATTACATAAAAAATTATTGAAATATAAAACTAAATCAAATCTTCTTGATTTAAACCTATAATTGAAGAAGATAGAAAAGGATCCATAAGCTTTAAATAAATCCAAGAATGAAAAATGATAGAGAGAGAGAGAGAGAGAGAGAGAGAGAGAGAGCAGTGAGTGAGTGTGACAGTGAAGCAAGCGTGGAGTAGAACAATGGAGGGTGGGGTGGGGTGGGGGTGGGGTGGCCCTACCCTCATTAACACTCTCATAGATTTCAGTGTTCCTCTCATTAATTTTACCTATTTTTCGACATTTTCTCATTAATTCATTCATTCACAAATCACTCACTCCCCCGCTCCTAAAAGCAACACCCTCTTCTCCTTTCATCATCAAATCACAAAATTTTCAAATTTCACAAAAAAAAAATCAACACCCTCCCCCCCCCCCCCCCCTCCCCCACCCCACATTCCCATTTAATTTCATAGGCCATAGGGAGAGAGCGTCTCCTGATGAAGAAAGCAAACTCTCATCTTTTTCAAGTTTCTTGAATAAAAACCCCATTTCTTGCATATTTTGCACCTATTTTTCTTCCTCCCTTTTTCAAATCTCGAGGCTGTTTTTTTTTTAAAAAAAAAAAAAAATTGTGAAGTGGGAATCCTTATTAGGAAGCTCGAACTGACCCCTCGTTTGTTTTTCATTTTCTTTCCAAGTGTTATTATTGTTTGTTTTTACAGTCTTCGTTTTGAGAAAGTTAAGGGAATCCAAGGCAAACCAAAACCTCCATTTTTAGCTGTTTTGGGAGCTAAGCAAAGCAATCAAGAACTCATTTTTATTTAGTGTAAAGAAGAAAGGGAGGGTAAAAACTATAACCCAAAAGCTTCGATCTTTTTTTTTCTCTTTTCTTTTTCTTCATCTTTGTTATATAATAATACTCATCTCTTCTAAAAACTTAAAAGGAGGGCATGAAAGGAGTTTGTTTCAAGCTGAGGAGAATATGAAAAAGAATAACATTTCTGCTTCTGCTGCTGCTGCTGCTGCTCCTAAGAGGAAGAAGGAATGGCATATTGTTTCTTGGTCACAAGAGGTTTGATTGAAATTGAACTTCATTTTTATTTTTGATTCGATTTGTAGTTTGATGAGGACTTTGGGATGTTTTTGGATGTCAGGAGGATGATATTCTGAGGGACCAAATCAGGGTTCATGGAATTGAGAAGTAAATTACAGTTCTTGATCTGTTTTTTTTTAAGCAATGTTGTGATGATCATTTTCTTGTGGTTAGTTTATGTTGTAATGAGATGTTAATTGGTTTGTTGTTTTTGTTGTAGTTGGGCTGTCATTGCGTCGAGATTTAAGGATAAAACGGCGAGGCAATGCCGGAGGAGGTTAGATTGAATTTGGTTCATTGGTTGCGTTGATTTGATCATACCTTGTGTTTCCTCTGTTTTTTTTTTTTTTTTACCTTTGTTTGGTGCAGTTTTTTTGGATCTTTCGAATGTTTTATTGAGCTGTTTTTGCAGATGGTTCACTTATTTGAATTCCGATTTCAAGAAAGGCGGGTGGTCGCCGGAGGAAGACATGCTTTTATGTGAGGTAGACAAGCTGCGGTTAAGGGTTATTACATCCTCTAATCTGATTTCCTTTTGTCGAGTTATTACATTCTTCTTTTTAGTTCGTCCATTTCGTTGTGTGTGCTTTTTGTCGAATAGTATTTAGGGGAATGTCGCGTAAATTTGATAAGAGTGAATGTTGAGTTATTACATCCTCTCATCTGATTTCCTTTTGTTGAGTTATTACATACTCATTTAGTTTATGGCTTTAGTTGTGTGTGCTTTTTGTCGAATAGTATTTAATCGAATGGCACGTAAATTTTTGATATAGTTAATGTTGAGTTATTACATCCTCTTATCTGATTTCCTCTTGTTGAGTTATTACATTTTTCTTTTAGGTCATCTCTTTCGTTGTGTGTACTTCTCATAAATTTGATATAGTGAATATTAAGTTATTACATCATCTTTTCTGATTTCCTTTTGTTGAGTTATTACATCCTCATTTAGTTCATCCCTGTCGTTGTGTGTGCTTTTGTCGAATGGTATTTAAGCGAATGGCACGGAAATTTGATATAGTGAATTTTGTCTGATTGAACGGAGTGAATTTTCAGGCACAGAAGATGTTCGGGAACCGGTGGACTGAGATTGCCAAGGTTGTCTCCGGGAGGTAATTCCTCGAATATATTTTTTTATATTAGATATATCGAGAGACAAGTTGTTAGAATTATTCTATGTCCTTCAGAACTGACAACGCTGTCAAGAACCGGTTCGCGACCCTTTGCAAGCGGAGAGCGAAGCACGACGCCGCAATGGCAAAAGAGAACACCTTTTCTTGCTACATCAACTTAAACAACAAAAGGGTCATATTCCCCAACGGCAACGACGATTCGAGAGGCGACGAAAGCAGCGCGCCACTTAAAAAGACGAGGTCTTTTTTTTGATGTCTTTTCGATCTTATTGAAAAATCATGTCAAAAATTTCCAAACATCGATGATCTCCTATCGAATATAGGATCTCGTCGACGAAAGCGACAGAAAATCGCGACGAATGCAACATCGCGGATCATCGAGTGCTTCGACATCCCTTTCAAGTGATAGCTCAAAACACGCCCGAGGATGAAAGTAACAAAGTCGAAGGCGCGTTCCTTAAGAAAGACGATCCGAAGGTGCTCGCGTTGATGCAACAAGCGGAACTGCTCAGCTCGCTCGCTGTCAAAATTAACTCGGAGAAGACGGACCAGAGCCTCGAATCCGCATGGACGGTAAATTCTTTCGATCGTATTCGTCGAAAAAGGATAAACCTTCAAAACAAAGATAAGATTCTGAGATTATGTAACATGTTATATATACAGGCCATTCAAGATTTCCTAAAGCAAAACAAAGAAGTGGTCATGTTCCGGAGTCAAGATACCGATTTTCAAATCGAAAAGTTGCGGGAATTGGTCGAGGATTTGACGAGCAGCAATGGATGGAGTAGACACGCGGCATCCCCGGCGAGCTCGGAATACAGTACAGGGTCGACTTTCCTGTCGATTCCGTTGGATGATCAGCAGCAATGTCCGGTCACGGCTGTGAGAACAAAACAAGGTATTAACGATACATATTCAAACATTAAGAAATGGTTAAGCTTTGCAGGGATTATAATGTATCCATTTCGATGCAGGCGATACTCTAACATGCGATGACATAAACGAGAATAATGGAGTGTATGAGTATTCGAATACGGAATTCGGATCCCCTCTTCATGTGACTCCATTGTTCAGAGCATTGGCAGCCACGATTCCTAGCCCGAAATTCTCAGAAAGCGTAAGAATTCTAATCTTTTGATCTAACTACATATAATCGAGCGCATATTGAAACTTTGGTGAAACAAACTGACCTTTTCGAGTGTCGATTCTGCAGGAAAAGCACTTCTTGATGAAGACACTAGGAATGGAGTCGACTTCGGCAAGCCCGGTCACAAATGCTTCCCAGCCTCCACCCTGCAAGAGGTCCCTCCTCCATTGCCTATGAACAACCAAGAACGACCAGAACAACATCTTGCCATTCGAGAGTTTTCTTGATTCGTTTTTTTCAAGATTTCTTTGTCCTTGGATTGCAGCCATCTCGACCTGGCTTTTTCCAAACAGGCCTGCCTGCGAAGATCTGGTTTGGAATCTGGAGATGCTACGGAGGCATCCTGATTTCTCTTCTGAAGATCAACGGCTATGATCTGCATCCTCGAGTATATCTTCCTAATACTCACTGTCTTTCCTCTGTGTGTGTATGTGTGATTTATCTATCAGCCAGTGTGTGCCATTCTTTTGTTAGTCTGCCTGTCCCTCCAACGGAACACCGGATACGGCGATCCACTGTTCCCAGGCATTCTCTTTCTTTCTTTCTTTCTTTCGGCTACATAAGCCTATAATGTATAGTGTAGATAGTAACCAACCAACACTAAAACCTGAGTAACAATACTGCAGCATCTCGCCGCAATACTATCCCCTTCCGGAGATTTTGATTGATTGATTGATTAATATAGGAATAGAGAAACACAAAATTAGAGATGAGAAAAAAAAAGAGCAAAAATGAATCCATCTTGATGATGGATTCATCTTTTGCTGTGTGTAGTGTGCAGAGAGTGAGCCCCTCTGCAATAAGTTTTCCATGGTGATGTATAAACTTTAGCTGATTTTGAAATATATATATGTAATAGAATGGAGAGTATTGGTGTGCATATACCTGTGTTTTTCATTATCATTTACCATTACAGTCCACTCTGTGAGGATATCTACCTGTGACAGAAGAGGAAATGTTTAGTAGATCAAAAAATGAAGCAATAAATATACTGAAGAAAGAATTTTTTAAAAAAAAAACTTAGAAAGAATGAAGCTAAGTTCATAGTTCATGGTTACCTTTTTGTGCTCTCTTCTCTTCTCTTCTTCTCTGATTTGGTGTCTGAATCCTGTGGGGAAGGTCTGCCATTTAAGATGGTGAAGTTTTGGGTGGAAGACAAGAGTCATCATTACTAAAGCAATAAAGTTAAGGGTAAAAAAGTGAAGGAGGGAAACCTCTACAAAATAAAGAAAGCTTCCACAGCCTGTGTAATCAAAAGTAAAAATAGAAAAGTATAACAAGATATAGAAAAAACCCCAAAATACAAACTAACTTCTTCTCCATACATATAACATACGAAGGTCACAAGTATGATGCTCACTCTTCATGTCTGAGCAATAGCCAAACATGTCCTAAAAGGATAGCAGCCTTACTAAGAAATGGCGAAGAATGTTCGCTTCGGTTCAGTTTGGTTCGTGGTGCATTTGCTCGATAATCAATCTAAGTACATTCCTCTGGTGTTCTTATCAGAGGTTGAGCAAAAATGGTAGGGGTGATTCGAGTTAGGTTATGTGGACTTTCTCTTCTTCTGTCCTCGCCGCAGCTTATTCCATTTTAGGTAAATCTGGTAAGATAGACCGGAGAAGACCATACAGACGCTTCCCCATTGCTTAGAGGACAGGGGATTTCCGCTCAGCAGGGAGGAAACAACTATGCTCACAAACTTACGGGTCGTGGTTATGGTTGTGTTCGTCAGGGAACCGAACTGGGTGATGGTCAAGAATATGAAGTTCTGGCCAACAGCTCCGCATAGACAGAAGAGAAGAATGTCCCACGCTGCTTCCGGATGCTGCTTGCAGAAGTGGATGGCGTTGTAGCCCATTGCGCTCGGCCAGCCGAACATGAATATCATGTTGTATATGGTGCCCCATATGTTCATTCCTAGCATCACATTCCATGCGCTTGTCTTTGGGTACCTGAAGAGATTAGAACAGTATTGATCAATGATCTGTTTAAGATTCACATTGAGGATGATATCAGATCAAGAAGTTTTTAATTTTGCTTCAGGAATTGTAATTTGTTTCACCTGGCTGTAATGGAATCCTGTGTTGCATTGGTGAATCCGTCGAATGCAAGGTTTAGAAAACAAAGGCCGTATCCAAGGGGAGCGTTTGGGCGTGCAAGTTTGCTAATTGTCTTCGAGCTTGTCTGAAGCAAGAAAAATAATGAATTTTATCTAAATGCCGAAGAACAGTGCATATTGGACTCTGAAATCAACTGCATGTTGATACATAATCTGAGACCTCTAAATTAAAGTAATGTTGTCAATCAAAGAACATCATTTTCTTGTTTACTTCAGAACAATGGAAGCATGAAGGGCGAAGAATGACAACAGCAAGACTCGATTACTTACCTTTGAAAGTGCAAAAGCAGACACACCACCAGCCACAAGGAATGTGCAAAGATACTCCGGAAAGGTATATCTAATCCCATAAACTAGAGTTCCCATAAGCATCACTGCATAATAAGATAGCGAAATAAGAAGCTAATTACTACATTCCATTACTTACTAAGAACCATAAAGCTAATCTTGTATACCCAAATTGTACCAAATTGATATTTTACATTACTTTTTACGCCAATATATATATACATATATACACATATATATGTATGTAAGATTTTACTTGCAACCAGATCTCAACCATCTATTTCATATGAAGCATCACATAATAATCATCATGTCTCCTTTAATAGCATCCTTTTATGCTTTAATATGTAAACTGTTCCATTAATGAACACTATTTCTTATTAACAACTCACCTGGAATCATTTTTGACGATTTTGCCAGCACCTAGAAATAAAGATGTCAATAAGTAGGTGTTTGAACAATAATGATAAATAAATAAAGAAGTCCACTCTACTTGCATCAGCAAATACAAGTTTCAAAATTTCCGGCCATGCAAGCTACTTCTGACAGTCCTACAATCAATGAATTTAGCCATAGACCAACATGAACTTACAATACAATATAATCCTAACCTTAATATTCGGTATCCTAACCATACTCATTAAATGATAAAGGAGTCAAGATAACAGTTCGGCAACATGAAGCATAACACAAATAAATTGACCAGCATAAATATCGGATGCATGTTTGGTATTGACAATATAGAGGAAAATTAGGATACAACCGGTCGAACTGTCAAATAACAACCTTCGATGCAGGGACAATCGAAAAGCAACTACATTCTTGGGGAGAAAATGTTAAGGTCAGTCCTTTCTAACAAGAGGAATGATATGTATAAATCAAAACTATGGCACTCAAATCAATTCATTCGATGAAATGCATGTCGAGGTTAATTTCTAAAAATCCTGTCCATCAAAAAAATGATTCCTGCCTTCCATAAATTGGAAAAGGTATGCTGAAATACGCCTAAATCAATTCAGGAAATTTGACTTGTAATCAATGTATACAGATTTTAGAACATGCCTGAGCAGGATAACTAATGTATTTTAATGCTTCAATCCCCATAGCGGGTCCAATTGTGTTCGTAATCCCAGCACTCCAGTAACTCCACCAAGGAGCACCACCATTGCCACCATTGGACCAAATCTTGATCACTATACGAATAACGACAACAGAGATAAGCACACACTGACACATTTACAGAAGCAGACAATTACAAGTAAGATTAACTAATTACCAATAACACTTACTTATAAATGACCATATCCAACACACTACATTTTGAGCAAGGTTCAAAAATGCCAAATGCTCAAACCTCTTCTTATCTGCACCGAACTTCTTCGTAGACCTACATTAAATAACAAACGTCTTCTCCATGAGCTTAAAAATGTAAACGCATTACCAAAAACCACATTATCGGCCATTTATGTACTTAACAGCAACTTCTGTAGCATCATAAAAAACAGAGTATCCACAATTTTCACCTCAGAACCACACTAATTCAAGAGCATAAGCTCGCTAGATCAAACATATTGAACAAAATTCCGTAATGTTTACAAACGTATTCTCAATGAGCTTAAACATGTAAAAGCACTACCAATAACCACATTATCGACCATTTATGTACTTAACACCAACTTCTGTCGCAGAAAACACAGTATCCGCCATTTTCACCTCAGAACCACACTAATTCAACAACATAAGTTCGCTACATCAAAAATATTGAACAAAAATCCGAAATGCTTACAGCGTTTCCTGAAGGACACCTTGATATATATACGCCGCCCAAATTCCGGCAACACAAAAGGCCAACAGAAACACGCGGCGGAGTCCGGAGCCGTAAGACTCCATGGCAGCTATTGATCAGCCGGAAACGAGCAGATCTCCGGCGGGCGTCGACTCCAACCAAACACGTCGCGCAGAGATTTCGCGTCAAAGTGTCGAATTGAAAGAAGATTCTCAAGGGTTCGTCGGTTGGGGCGTCCCGACGGGTATTTATAGTCGGGGGTTTCTGCTACGTGGATTTCCACGTGGAGAGTTGTGAGTGGCGGAGGTGACTGACGGAGATTTTTGATTGGTTGGGAGGACGAAGAGCGGTCGTTCCAGTTGCTGACGTGGTAGAATTTCTCAATAAAAATAAAAAATAAAAATACATTGAGAGAGATAAATATTGATAGAATATTTTTGTAAAAATATTTTTTTTTATAAATAGTATCAAAGACTATAAAATTGTATGTATAAACAGAATGATATTTTTAAATAAAAACACACTATTAATAAATAATATCAAAATTTTGTCTGTACAAATAAAGCCTTATAAAAATATTACTATAAATTACAAAATTTAAAACAAAAACATTGGTAAAGTAAGTTTGTTTTTTAAAAAATATATAAATATATATATATATTAAAGTAAATATTTGAATAAAAAAAAATTCAAACTCAAATTAAAATAAAATAAACTTGTAGTCTCCATGCAGTGGGCTTTAGTAAGTCAGGCCCAATATTAGTTTATTTTGTAACTTTTACAAATATGTGTATATATTTTATAATAAATTATTTAAAAGTAAAAGAGATTCATATTTATTAATATGAATAAATTTCAATCAGTCCATTCAATAAAATTCAGGTTTAAATAAGTCTTTTGTTGCAAGTTAAAGCTTCAGGTTGTATTGTATGTATCTATTTTCTGAGTATAGATTGGCTTTGACATTTTAAAAGAAAATTGTTAAACAAGTAAGAACGACACTAAAATCGCTCTTTTGTTTTAGCGATTTCTGCACAAATTGTATGGTTCCTCACCACTCCATTCACTTTGACTTCATGTTTTGACATTTTTTAAGGTGATTTTTCAATGTCCAAACTACTTTGAAGCTATTTTTGTGTGAACAACTGAAGCATAGGCACGAAAAGTATGAAAATATTTTTCTGATATATATTATTCTTATTATTAAATTTTAAATTTTAATTTATATTTTTTTTCAATTTTACTAAAAAATGACCTATAATTATCTAATTTAATTTTATATTTAAATTATAATAATATATTTTTCTTATATCTTATTCCTAATTTGGTCGTACTTCATTTTCTCAAATTGTTGCTTACGCCTTCTCCCTTCATGCCCTGCTGCGCTGCACTTCACCCTCTCTTTTTTCTCTCTTTCTTCCAACCTTGATTTCTTTGAAATTCAGACTCTACCGTGAAGCGTTGTCAGTCCACTTCTATTTTTTTCTGAATCGATACCGTCAAATCGCTGCTTTCAATCTCTTATTTAGCCAACATCAACGTATTTTAAAAATACATATAATCATATATTTATAGGATCTACAATTATTTCTATACTATATAATTTTTCTGTAAAATCTTTATATACGGTAAAATCTTTCGAAACTTTTCTTTTAAATACTTTATACTAAATTTCGAAATCAGATTTATAAACAATTTACCTAAAAGTAATAATACATTAATACTATAATAAAGTAAATGTATTGATAGATTAGAAAAAAAAAAAAAAGTTTATAATTATTAAAAAATAAAATGTATACATTATCGTAGAATGGATAAAAATAAAAAATATACTACCTCCGTCAGATTCCAAGAGTCTCATTTACTGTTTGCGTGTTGATATTTAAATATTAATTATTATATCAAAATATAGTACAAATTAAAAGAGAATTATAAAAATACTTCCATTAGTATTTTATAATATTAATGGAAGCACATTTGTACAAAAAATTATTCAAATATAAAAATATTTTTAATATTAACTAAAATAATGCAAAAGATAAATACGACTTGAAGAAAAAAGTATATGATAATGCATAATGAAGAAAGTATTCATTAAAATTTGTAAGAGCGAGAGAACGTATATAAAAGAAGTAAGATAGTGTGTAGGGATAAAATGCAAAAGAATACATACAACACCTACCTGCACGTAAATATAAATTTAGAAAAAAAGTCAACGGATGGAGGAGATGTTAGTAATGGGAACAAGGCTGCGCGTGCGACGAAAATTCCATTTTATTCTTTTTCTTACCGCCAAATCTGGGGATTCCCGATTTCATGTCCTTATCGCCTTTTTATAAAGGCTATGTTTTTTTTAATCATTTTAAAAAATAAAAACAAAATCAAAGACTTTTATTATTCTCTTCCTCTTATCGAAATATTGCTATTTTTTATTTTTGTTAGTCTCAAAAACAAATATTATTATTTTTCTAATTTAGTAATTATACTATTTATCTAACATAATAAATATTTTTTCAACTTTATTTTCGTTTTTTTTCACTACAATATATTATAATATTAATACTTAAAAACCTACGTGCAAAAAGTAAACAACAACTTTGCACTGGAACGGAGTATTTGAATTTTATATTGTTTTTAAAATATATATTTTTCATTTTTGATAAAATATTTTTAAGGGTGTGGTTATTTGGAGGATTTTCCCCCAATTTTACTGTTTGTTCAATTTTTTTCTTCCGAAAATATCAAATTAAACACTTATTTTTTATTTTTTATATTATATTAAAAATAAATTTTACATTCAAAATATCACATCAATACCTATTTATATCACATCAAATTACTATTCAAATTCAAAATTTTTACTATTTAAATCTCAACTCAAAATCAAAACACCCAAGCAAACATAGTATTTTAGATGCAAAATTTAAAAGATTACAATTAATTAATAATTAAAAAATATATTAATAAAAATAATTATTATATAAGATTAATATAAATATTTATTTAAATAAATAAAATAGGCTAATAAAAAAAAAGACACGCAAGTGAACTAAAGATGTATATAAATATTATTGTTTTATTTAATAAATATTACTCTGTTCGTTTAATTAAAAAATATATTAGTAAAATTAATTATAATTTAATAAAAATAATTATAAATTAATATTAAAATAATTAAATAATTTAGTTAATATTAAAAAAATTATAAATTATAAAATTTAAAATTTAATTAAAATATATAATTATATTTAAAAAAATGACAAATTATATTAAAATAAAAAAAAATAAAAAATAGACTTATTATTTACGACTACAGAGTATATTATTAATACACACTACTAATAGTAATAGAAATAGGAATAGGAATGATATTTTATTTCTATTTATATTATACATAATCTTAATATTTAAAATATACGTTAAAGAAACAAATAAAATACTTTTTTATTACATAAAGGAATAATACAATTGAAAAAAGCAGGTGGAAAGTAGGGTTGACTACTTGTGTTAAAAAAGTTGGATTCAAATTTAAAACTGGTCGTACCGAATCTGGGTCGGGTCAGACCGGGCCATTACTTGTAACTGATAAGATAAGATGATGATCGAATGATGACGCAGGCGATGAGATCATTACGGGTAATGAGTGACGTCATACATCTCAATATTTGCTTTCACTTGGAAACATAAATATATTTTTTTCATTCTATATTGATTTATTTTATATATATTAATATAATAATTAATATTTAAAAATATATATGCAAAAAATCAATAATATTATTCTTTTGAAACAAGATAATATTATTATTTTTATTATTCTTTTTTTACTATATAAAATATAAAAATAAAAAAATAAACATTATATTAAAATTTGTCATAACAAATTAACATATTTTTTTATGACAAGAAAAATTATACTATAATATATCTAATTACTAATAAGATATATATATATATAATTACTAATGATATAAAATACATTCTTCATTGTTTTTAGTTTAGCTAAAGTATTATTTTTATTCAATATTTATTTGTAACAAATATTATTAATTTTATTATATTTTTAATTATTAACTAAAATTTACAAAATATTTTCAACTATTTATTTTTTATTTTCTATTACTCAATTGGCCCATAGCAATTGATACATTTATATTTTTAATAAATATTGTTGAATATATTTTACAAGCATATATGATTCATTTAAAAATTTTCTAATTCTATTTTTATTCAATTAATTTAATTTAATTTAATTTTTAATATTTTATGCATAATTCATTCAAAAATTTTATTTTTTTTCATTAAATAAATATTTACATTTAAAATTTTATATTTTTATAAAATTAATTTATATTTTAATTCTATTATAGAAAATATTATTTTTTACTAAATGAAATCCATATAATATAATTTATTGAGGTACAATGTTTAAATTATATAAATACATATTTTAAATTTTATTTTAATCATATATATATTAATTTTATTTTAAATTACCAACGATATTATTCACATCAATATTATTTTTTATAATAAAATATTTATATAAATTCTAGAAAAATGTTAATTTTAGTAAATTGGAGATAGCAGTAAAAACCTTGAAAGTGGCAAACACGTTAACAAAAACAATTCCATGGTGGAATAGGGGTGGGGTCCTCCATCTTTCTCTCTCTCTTTATCATCTCTCTCTGTGCTTCCACACTGCTTCCTCCCCCATCATTCATCAAAGCAGTTTCCCCTTTCCTTCCTCTTCCTCTTCACATGTGAAACCTAGAAACAAAATACTGCAGTATATGCCATTTTCCTGAAAACCGTCTGCGCCGAACTCCAAACAGAGCTGCGTTCCTTGTACACACAGATATAATTTAGCAAAGGAGGCCGGAGGAATCGAGTCCAGTGACTTCTTCGTTTACTGCTTCAGCTCTTGGAATTTTTCTCATTGACCTCTTTTAATTTCTGCTATTTCTTTAATTTCTCTTTCGGTTTTTGGGGGTGATTATGGGAAATTGCTTTGGTTCTTCCTCCGCTAGGGTTGACGCCACTCTCAGCACCCCTTCTGGTATATACCTTACACTTTTTTTCATCTCTGTTCGATTTCTTCAATTTCTGGAATTTTCTAATTAGGGTTTGCTGCTATTTTGTTTTTTTACTCTCTATAGAATAAAATCCCCTTTTGCTGTCTGATGCACAATTTTGTTCCCTGTTTTGCCCTGAATTTATGCTCCTTTTGGTGGCTTTGATTTGATGAACAATTTTTGTTTCTGTGCAGAGATGCTGTTTAGAATTTAAATATGGAAAACTCATTATTTGCATCTGGATTTTTCTGCTAGGGTTGTATTTCTCCAAGCTGATCTGGTTTTAAATTTGATCATTTGATTTGTTCTGCTTGCAAAATTGTGTGTAAGATTTTGGAAGGTGTAATTACATCGAACTATTGAAGATTGGAAGGTGTAATTTATGAGTTCTTATTAAATGAAGGGTTGAAAATGTTGTCTTGATTTGTGTTGGAATTGGAAGTATGCATTTGTGTTTGTTGAGGAGTTTTGGATGAGCTTAGTTAAGCGAAAAATCGATTCGGATTTAATGTAGATTCATTCATTTCTGATATCTGTTAGCGAAAATACCCTGGATAGAATACGCCAAAATTTCGTCGGTAATAGATTCTTTTTGTATTGTTTAGTTAAGCAAAAAAATCGATTCCGATTCGATGTGGATGAACATTATTTTCGTTGGTTTTGCTTTATGTATCGATGATTGCGCGAGTAATTGAATTCGTTATTGGTTGTTTTTGGTTAACGTTAGAAGCGTCGAGATTTGCGAGCAAAACGAGCGAATTGTCGGTTCCTTCCACCATAAGCATTCCATCGTACAACAGCAAAAGCAGCATCGAGAGCCTTCCGACTCCACGATCAGAAGCCGAAATATTGTCGTCCCCGAATGTGAGGGCGTTCTTGTTCAACGAGCTAAAGAATGCTACAAGAAACTTCCGGCCCGACAGTCTTCTCGGAGAAGGAGGATTCGGCTACGTCTTCAAAGGATGGATCGACGAAAGCACACTCACGGCTGCCAAGCCCGGGTCGGGATTGGTCATTGCGGTCAAGAAATTGAAGCCCGAGGGATTCCAGGGCCATAAGGAGTGGTTGGTACGTACGTTCGTTCGATTCTCTCGTTTTGCAAAACATATTGGCAAAATTGTCCATAACTCGCTTGTAGTTACAGAACTCAGCGTAAATCTTCTTTTTATTTTAAAAATTGTGTGACGCCCCCTTATACTTAAAAAAATTGTCGCATAAAATTACTCTGTGGTTTCGAAACTCAAACGTAAATCCCTAACTTATTTTAAAATTTGTACGATGCCCTTTGTAGATAGAAAATTATTTTCTCATAACACAAATGAGGTTTCATGGCTGTGGAGTTTGATGCAATTTTGAAAGTATAAGGGCTCGTCATGCAATTTTTAAAGTATAAGGAGATTTTATGTTGAATTTCGAAACCAAAGGGAAGCTATGAACAATTTTACCTGACATATTTGTTAAAATGCATGTATTTATTCTCGATTTTACGGTAATTTTCAGACGGAAGTTAATTACTTGGGACAGCTTCACCATCCGAACCTGGTTAAACTTATTGGTTACTGCTCAGAAGGCGATAATCGACTCTTGGTGTACGAATTCATGCCCAAAGGGAGCCTCGAAAATCATTTATTCAGAAGTACGTAAAAAAAAAATCGTATGCATTGTTCAGTTCTTAACCTAATTTCGGATTCTAAACGTCGTCGTGTGTCGTCAGGAGGGTCGCAGCCTCTCTCGTGGGCTACCCGGATCAAAGTCGCAATTGGTGCCGCCAAGGGACTTTCGTTCTTGCACGATGACGAGCAGCAAGTTATATATAGAGATTTTAAGGCTTCCAACATTCTTCTTGATTCGGTACATGATTGGAAATTATTCGATACTTTTTTTCGGCGCACATTGCCCGTTTGTTTTATTCACGGTAAAGTTTTTGTTTCGATTGTGCAGGAATTCAATGCAAAGTTGTCCGATTTTGGCTTGGCCAAAGCCGGCCCGACTGGCGATAGGACACATGTCTCGACTCAAGTTATGGGCACACAAGGCTATGCTGCGCCCGAGTACGTCGCCACAGGTATATATTAATTATGGTAATTTATAAAATGATAAATTGCATTTACTGTTCTGTGTTATATTATAAATTTATAAAATTTAACCCATGAAATCCTTTCTGTCTTATATAGTCTTTTTTTTGAATAAATTCAATTAGTGAAAAATTAATTAGTTTTTCATTGTCTAGTTTGTAAAAATTAAATTACTCTATTTTAGAAACTGTGGAATGAAAGATTATCAAAATTTCATTTATTTATTTTATTCAAGAAGACTATTTAAGATATTTTACTCATTTATTACTATGCATTTATAAAGGCTCCGATCATCCAGCGATTTTGGATGAAAAAGTTTTTGGAGTGTGGTATTAAAAATTGTGTCGAAAATATAAAATATAGTATTATTTTTTGTTGAATATTTGATTTTTTTGACTGTTTTTGTAACGATTTTGTGGTTTTTTATAATGAGTATTTTGACTTTTTAATTTTTGTATAAAATATTGTGTTTTTTATTATTATCTTTTGGCAATCGCATTTGAAAAATGATGCCGGGAGAACAGAGCCAATAAATGTAGTAGCTATACAATTTACCCTTTATAAAAATGCGTTGAAAATTCCGTTTCTCGTTTAATACTAAACTAATCGCTACGTCAACGAACAGGTCGCCTGACGGCAAAAAGCGACGTCTACAGCTTTGGTGTCGTGCTGCTCGAACTGCTATCCGGGCGACGTGCGGTGGACAAAACGAAAATCGGGGCCGAGCAAAACCTAGTCGAGTGGGCATTACCGTACTTGGGTGACAAGCGAAAAGTGTTCCGGATAATGGACATAAAACTCGAAGGCCAATACCCGCAAAAAGGTGCGTACACGGCCGCCACCGTCGCGCTGCAGTGCTTAAGCCACGAGCCGAAGCAACGGCCGCGAATGCCGGATGTCTTGGCGACGCTCGAAGGTCTCAAATCTCTGAAAAGCTCGACCAAACACTCGAAAATGGATAACCCGGCAATGTCGCCGATGAATAGGACCCCTTTGGCGTCCCCTATGGTCGCCGCCGGGAGGGTTGCCCGGGTCCGGTGAGGCTCTTGCCGGATTCCGGCAGGACTCCGATTGGTATGTAAATATGTTAGTTAGGTTGGCATATTATTGCTGTGTGGTGGTGTTGGATTTGAATCGTTTGATTTGAGTGTATAAACTTGTGATGTTTCGATACAACTGGTGAGGTGTAAGTTAAAGATCCATATATGTTTATATATATATGGATTGAGTTTTCTTACATTGTTGAATTATAGTATTAATTGTATTTATGTTGATCTGATCAAATTAGCTTTATGTTCTCTTATTCCCGCATTTAATTACTAGCATTATGCTGTGATTCCCTGAAAGAATTAGAATATATATATATTATCTATTGAGAATGTGTATCAAAAAAAGAAAAAATTAATCGGACAAACAAATTGTTTTCATTTAGGATGTATTTGTTTGAAAATTTGAATTTTGGGTTGAAATTTTGAAAAAAATAAAAATAAATTTGATAAATAATAAAAATTAGTGAAAATTCTTGGACCCTTAATTTATTATATAAATAGAACTAGAGTTTGTTTGATTACAGTATTAAATATTTATTGATATCACCGTCAAATAATTATTTTAGTAGTTTTAAAATATTACACTAAAATATTAATTTTTATTTTTATTTTTATTATTATTATTTTCAAAAGTGTATTGCGACATTTTTATTAATCAATAAATTCCTAGTACAGGTTGCATGCATCCACCAAATTTAGAAGTCAGTCAATAATGGAGTCATCATCATTACTCAACTATCATTATTATTAACAACAAATAAATAAAAAAATAAATGAAGTCAATGTAGCTTGATTTTATTTTATAGGCCCTATATATTATCATGGCTGCTTTAATTAATGTCAACCCAATAAATTTATATATTACATACGTATTTTGGACCATTATTTAATTCCTCTATTATAGACAATAAATTAAGGTATGTTTGACCAACTGATTTAATTATTTGATAACTGGTTTTTAATTTGTTTGATTAGTAAGAATTATTAACGGGTTGTGTTAAAATATTTGATGAAACAATCATTTAATATCAACTGTTTATATACATAAATATATATATATATATATATGAAATTAACCATACTTTTATTTTTAAAATCTTCATATATAAATATATAAAATATTGATTAATATATTATTTTATTAAATTTATAATTTTTTTTTAAAAAAAATTATTTAATTTTAATATAAAATTTATATAATAAAAACTATCTATAAAAATAAAGTAATTTAATAAATTTATATATTTCACAATATATCATATTAAATTACTAGCTAGGGTTTGCTTTTTTAATTGAAATTAGAAGTTTGATTTGAATTTTAATTTAAATAATATTTTTCTATAATATTTTGTAAAAAAAAAAAATTAATTAAAAACCACACAGACTCAATGGTAGTAATTTTGATTTCAAATAGAATCTAAACATACTCACTATTTTAAATCAAAACTTAAATACAAATATCAATTTTGATGAGATATTAATAGATTTATATCTAAAGTAGATCTTATTAATAAATTAGATTACTTAGATTCATTGTCTATATACACAGACTCCTTATTTTGATGATCAATAAGACAATTTTATTATTTTCCCCCAAAATTTCTAACATGATATCAGAGCCTATTTTTCTCATGTCGTAGATATAGCCTACCAACCTGCATTTCTCCGGGTACATTCAACCTTGGATGTACCCGAAAGTCTCCCAATTTTGAATTTTTTTTTTTTATTATAGTTTCTAACCCTTTCTTTTTCTAATTTTGATTTTATCTTGAGTCCTGATTCTGTCTACGATCTGTCATATGTCATATGTTTGTCTGTTGATTGCGTGCGATCTGTTTGGTGTTGCCATCTATCTGTTTTCGGCTCCGGTGGAGAATTATCTCGTTTTTTGCTCCGGTGGAGTCATCTCATTTTCGGCTACGGTGGAGTCCTGTCGTTTTCGACTCCGATGGAATCATCTCATTTTCGGCTCCGGTGGAGTCTTGTCGTTTTCGGCTCCGGTGGAGTCATCTCGTTTTCGGCTTCGGTGGAGTCATCTAGTTTTCGCCTCCGGTAGAGTTATGTGATTTTTGACTCCGGTGGAGTCATGTGGTTTTCGGCTCTAGTAGAGTCGTTTCGTTTTCGGCTCCGGTGGAGTCATCTCGTTTTCGATGGCTCCGGTGGAGTCATCTCGTTTTTTACGGCTCCGGTGGAGTCATCTCGTTTTCGCCTCCGGTGGAGAGTCATCTCGTGTTCGGCTTCGGTGGAGTCATGTCGTTTTCAGCTCCAGTGTAGTCATATCATTTTCGGCTCCGGAGGAGTCATCTCGTTTTCGACTCCGGTGGAGAGTCATCTCGTTTTTTGCTCCTGTAGGTGGAGAGTCAACTGTTAATTTTATTTATGTTTTCTTTTTGCGTTTATATTCAAATTTCTCATCAAACTCAAGTTGGTTTCTGTTATACCACTTGAGTTTGAGGGGATGTTGGGATATTTTAGATATTCAATTTTAGGTTGAGTAGATTTATATCTATATTTGATCTTATTCTTAAATTAGATTACTTAGATTTGAGTGTATCGATTATGTTTTGTATTGTTTACATAGACTCCTTATTTTGATGATTAATAAAACAATTTTATTACTTTCCCCCAAAATTTCTAACAAACTTAAACACATATCAAACAAAAATTTTACTTTCTTTACTACTTGTCTGATTAGTAAGTACATACAAAGAAGAGATACAACACATATTTGTGTGATTTAAAAATATACGTTTTCCACTTCATATTTATTGTGTATTAACATATATTGTGTTAAGACTAATGGTAGTATAGATCATCAGCATATATCGTAAATTTAGCATTTTTCAAAATAATTATACTCAACACACAAACAATCTCCTAATTCTTTTACACGCTTGTCTTAATCCAATCGATTCGGAAACTCACTTAAGTGTTCATCGAGCGAGAGTCTTATTATGATGTCAATTACTACAATACTGTTGCATTGAATTTTGTAGCGACAAATAAATAGATCAACTTGAATAAACAAAAGTTTAATTGTATTCCATATGCACACATTTGCTAGGATGCAAGTGAATTTTAATTTTACAATACATCAAATATAATAATGTGATTGTAAAATGTCAAAAGAGATTTGAAAATTTCGACATGGTTATGCTCGATGGCGTGCGAATCCATATTACACAACATGAGTCGAGATTCTTCTTAAAACTCTAAATTCCTTTTGCACATTTTGCAGGAAATCAATATTGCTAAAAACCCTCCTAGTTTAATTTAGGCATCCGAAAATTAAGACCCCTTTGGGTGAACATTGATCTTTGTAATGCTAAAAAACTTTATGCTCATTTTTAAAGTTTTCTTTTTGAATATAATATGCAATTCTACGATTTCTTCATAAAATATCATTATTATTTTGTACAACATTGCATCAAATGTCTAGTTAAACATAAATACAAAAACAAGGCTAAATCAGGAATTGTGGTTGTGGCATTGCTCTGAACTCAATCAAATTTTATTTTTCTAAATTAAAACCTAGCTAGCTAGCATTCAATTTGTAGATTTCAAATTTTGAATTCAAACCCACTCTATTACAAATGAGGCTAGGACAAAGCATAGCCTATAGCCCCCAATTTCCAACCTAAAAACAAATATATATATATATATATATTTATTTATTTTTAAAAAAAGTAAGCAAAACTATGTTTACATATATCTATACACTTTGAAGCTTTGATACAATTCATCTATAATATATATATTTATTTTTAAAAAAATATCAAATCAATTACTTATTTCTTTTTCATAAAAATTAAAGAAAACATCGGACTTTTATCGTTTTCATAATTCTCAAAAACTCCATAAATCCTCCTTTTTCTTTTTTTAATCTAAACAAAGCATAGTGAATAAGAAAAGGTTTCAAACCCAACCCAAGAGTTCCCCCAAACACTTCACTAAAATCAGCTATAAATTAAAACAACATAGACTGATCGATGCGAAGTGTTTGAGGAGAACTCTGAGGAGTGTCTGAACTAAAAAATACTTGGGATTCTTTTAATACAAACTTACATTACCTAAGGCTATATATATATATATACATATATGTGTGTGTATTGAACAAGAATGAACCTAGACAAGATTCTGGGATGTATGAAGGATAGATAGAATTGTATTCATTAATCTGGCCATATGCATAAATACAGCTGCCCCATCTCTATTATTCTTACAAGTTACGTCTTTTTCGCCACTCGGCTTTCGTGTATACTCGAATTTGGGCAGATAAAGTTAATTTTATTCATTAAAAAAAATAAATTTAAAACAAGAATGGAGCTTCGCAAAAATTGCAATTTAATTTTCCTTGTCTTAGAATGCTTGAATTTCATTCATGTCTGAGTTTGATTAATTTTTGATGTTAAATTGAATAAGGTAACATGATAGTAACATTTTTTTATATATATATAAAAAATGACTGTCAACTTTTTCGACATTAATTGCTGACGTAACTCGAAAGCGAATTAAATTAATTTAGAAAGCGAAGATGAAGATTTAATCATCATGTAAGCAATATATACAAAGCTAGGTGTGTGCTGTTCTTTTTCAATATTTGCGTTTGTATAATATAAATATTATTTTTATTTTACTTTAGAACTTACAACTCATAATTATGCACCAAATAGTCTCACAAAACAATGAATTATAACTATAAGTGTTTCATTCATACATTATACTTTTAAAACTACTTTTAATCAGATCATAGGTTCAAATCATGCCAACATTTTCCTAGTCGGGTATGTTACACAATATTTGTCTAATGTGATCATAATTTACCCAATGCGTATTTAAAGAGAGAAGCACGATTTTCCGTATTTTATACATTCAATATATAATTAAATACATTTACTCGAAAATTTAACTCCACCTTCATCCTCAGCCTCTATGACTATTTCGTACAACTTTGCGATGTATTGCCTTTATCTCCATCTTTTTATCTAGGGTGTGTTTCTTTTGATGAGTTTAAAAAAAATTTGGTTTAAGTTTTGATATGAAAATAATGTTTGATGCGATGTTTTGTGAGAGAAAAAAATATAATTTTTTTTGAGAAATGCAGAGTCCAAATAGTAAAATTTGGAAAAATCATGCTAAAGAAACATACCCTTAATTCCTTTTCTAGGCACTATCTCTTTCACTTGAACTCTTAATTCCAAATTTAGACAAAGAATACAGTAAATGTAGTCAGTCATGATTAATTTTTC